GTATCCTCGAGTGAATCCCACAGCAGCTCACTTGTTGCAGGCATGTAAAGTATTGCTAAACAAATAGACAGCAGTAGGTAAAAAATAAGGTTGAAAACTAAACTCTTGCTTTCCCACATAAGGAGATATTCCCTGAGTTTTTGTCCTCCATCTCGGAAGCTTCAGAGGACATGAGAAGAGCATGTGGCATTGCCAAGGGAAAAATTTTAAAGGACAAGTTGGGAAATGGTTGGTGATTCAAAAGGGAAAACAAGCGGCTTTATCAAAACACCACAAATGGAAGCAGAAAGAAACTAAGAGAGGAAAGCCAGTGAAAAGAATGGCATAATTTGCTGTTTTACATGAGCCCAACCAAGAAATGTTATGCAAACGAAGAGTGAACCCAGTGGAACTTATTTTCCTGCACTGTGTGTTTTTCTTTTTGGCTGGGCTGCACAGTTCAGTTCACTCATTTCCTGGACAGCCTCACGACAAAGAAAAAAAAAAATCAACCCTTTGACCTTTGCAAAATTTCTTCTAAGTACAATTAAAGGTAAGCTTTCTGGCTATCTCCCAAGACATCTGTGGTTTACTGCGAGTATAAATATATTGTTTGTGAGCCTCTTTGAGGGTTACATATAGACGCAAAGTGTCATTAAAGGCAGACCACAGTGAGCACAAATTGGCATAGTACTGGCTTTAGGTGGATCTAGTGCTAGCATAGCATCATACCAAATGAATGTGGAAAGGGCCAACAAAAGAAATCACAAGAAGTGGGAACTGAAAATCAGGGAAGACTGCCCTCGGAGAATAGAGCTCAGGAAGTAATTTCACCAGTGCTCGCTCACGTTCCCATCACCAGCTACCATGTCACCACAGACGAGGGCAAAATCTAGAACAGAGAGATTTTGGCATGGTTGAGTCAGTTATGGATTAAAAGTATTTTGTAGTTTGGCCAAGTAACAAGGTAAGTAGAGGACTGCACCAAGTGCCTACACAACTTTTCTTAGGGTAAGATCCCAGGTCAGATTACTGATGATCTACAGAAGAAGGGTCATCAGCTTTCCTTTTGACTGCACCAGTATAGAGAAGCAAGAGATAAGACAGCATGCCTGGCTTTCTCTCTTCATGTCACAGGCTTTTAAAAACATAAAAGTATAATATAAAGAATATGAAATCATTCTAGACAGCTCAGACCCAGATCTGAACAGAGCTATTAAAGCTACACAATACAAAATATCAATGGTAGAGTTTGTGATTTTCGAGGCAGCAATCTCTCCTTTAATACATAACAATAGAAATTTTCTTTCTTCTTCCTATTTCTATTAAACACGGTCTTAAACAACTAGAAATGCCTGTTTTATCTCTTCTTCCTCTTGTTTGGTACAAATTACAAGAAACATACTGATAAAACCATACACAGTTTACACAAAACACTAATTAGCCACAGAAACTTGGCAACTTCATGACCCATGTCAAACAAATAGAAAAAAGAAAGGATAGTCTAAACCACTGGCGTAGTCTCTGACTTTCAAGCATGTCTCACAGTTCTCTAGCAGTGTAAATTATTTCCAATATAAATCTCCTTTACACTGATAAAGGGGAGGTAAGTGCAGCCAGTACAGATGAGAATTGGGAATGAACTTCTAAAATGACTGTGCAAGCAGTTTTCTTTGGTGGATGCTTCCTGATCTCTTAGGCATTTGAACAGTACCCCAGGCTTATAATAAACTAAAAAAGGGCTAGGAAGTATTGCTCACAGACTTTTTGCAGAATAAGGCTTTACTGCGAAAAAACAGAAAATTGGTCTGTTGATTTCCGATTTCATTCTCTTAAGACTTGTACTCAAAAGAGCAACAATAGGTAAACAGTAGTCTTTAAGTCCTTCAAAGAGGTTCATGTTTATTTGTTGATGCTCCTGAACAAAATGGTAAGTTGGCAATTGAGTTTTATCTGAGCCCCCGAAGATACACAATGCATAACACAACACTGGAGAGACGTTGACTTGTTGCAAAGATTTTGCCAGATTTGATTTGTTGCAAAGCCACCCGAGGAGACTGATTGCCCTTGGGTCGGTTCTTTCCCCTTCTTTGGAAGGTGGGAGGAGGTTGGTGGTCAGACTTCCCAGGTGGTTTATATGTAATGCTTTATCAGGAAGTACTAAAAATGAAATACTTTGTTACCTGTTTTTTTCACACATCATTGTTTGACTTGGGAGTGGAAACCCCTTTTCTCATCTGTTTTTCAGAACAAGTCATCTCAAGGGCTTCAGTAAGCAGGAAATACAGAACAAATTGTGTTGAATTGCTCTCAAAAAACTATAGCTAGTGGGCTTTAAAATGTTCCCCTAGAATTTGCATTATTCCCTGTGTAAAACACTGAGCAATAAAAATAATTTAGATGTTAAGGTAACTGACAAGTACTTAAGCATGACCACTGCTGTTACATTAGAAACCCAACAAGCATTTTATCCACATCCGTCCAATTTTTATGTGTGAAGGTTCCCTTGTGTCGCTACTGGAAACCACGGAGAAGCTCCATGGAGAGCTAGGTGGGTGAGTCTCAAAAAAAGAAAGTCTGCATTTGAACTTCTTTTGGTTTGTTGTTTTTTTTTTGAAGTGAGGAAGCTGTTGAGAGAATATGGGAAATGAGGGAACTTTAACTTTTTTTCTGCAGACACTCTGGTGTTTAATAACTTTGTTCTAACAAGCACCTCCGGCATACCAAAATTTCACTGGGTATTTTCTTACACATAAATAGCTCTTTAGAGAACAAAACCAGTGTTAGACGTTTGCTACTCAGGCCCTGAACTTTTCCTACCCGCAGTCCCAAGGAATAAGAGCCCTCCATGGCTGGCAGTCCCTCAGGCACTGGCCAAGGCTTTGGCAAGAGGTAGCTGTGCTGTGGTGGGTGCTGCTGGAGCGGGTCAGGTTTCCGGAAGGAGCTGAGAGCAGTGTTAAGTTATGAAGTGCTGCTGTTTGTCTCCCAGTAGCCAGGAGAAGAAACAACAATGGAAACAACCTTTTTAGGCTTTCTTTGTAAGAACTAAAGTGAAATAATGCGATAATCAATTGCTCCCCCTCACCACAGAAAGGTCACCTTTGGAAATGTAGAGCATCTCTCCAATGAGCATAGCCATTTCTTACTATGTTCTGGAATTTTTTTTTTTTGTTTGTGTAAGATAGAAGTTGTTTCTGCATGAAATCCTCGGGAAAGTAGCTAGCTTCAGGTATGCAACACATCTCTCGGGTACTGCTAACTTACAAATGTTGCAACAGTACTCCTACTGCAGGCAATGGCTAGATGTGCTTCCTCGCTTACCAGTGACAAGAGAAACAATGCCTGAAATAAATGAGCAGAACTGTCAAGACAAAGTGAAGCTGAAATTCTCCAAGATCTTGAAAAGTTTCAAGGTCAGGAACACCTCGGGGTGGAGGAGCACACAGACAATAGTACGGAGCTAAAACAGCAGCAGGAGAGAATCCCTGAATCCTGAACGGCGTGAGAGCGCCAAGGAGGGTGTGCTTTGATTCATGTAAAGGCTTACACTTCTAGATTGAAAAAGGCACTTAAAATCGTTAAAGACAAATAATGTGATGTTGTTCTCCTTCTTCACTTCTACTATCAACACAGTAGGAAAAGCATCTGTTGCCAATCACAATCACAAGTACTTCTAATTCCCAATCTCCCTTAAAACACAAGTGTAACATATAAATGTCTGCACCAATAAAATACGTATTTGCAAGCCTGTTTATGCACAGATTTTTTAAAAACTGTATTAGTTGATCCAGTTTCTTCCACCATGGCTGGAGAACTGAAGTCTGGTACCCCAACATGAATTGTGGCAGCTCCCAAGAGGCAGGCTAGCAAATACAGCAAGGGAAGGCTACCAGCTGTTTTTTATGAAAGAAATACCTGCACAGTGTTTCACATATGCTTTGCATTTTCTAACTTTGTAAAAGCATTCTGTATTTCTTCACGTATTGTGAAATCCCACATAAATGGTGAAATCCCATTTTAATGAAGCATCTCTGAATACATCAAATCACAAATGATAGATTGATATGTTGTGTTGACTGCTGCTAATTGACAGTAAGTGATCAGCTTTTGTGAAACAATACAACTTTAGAGTTCTCATAGTTTTGTAGTAGTCCTACCACGAAAAAAAAATTGCTTCTAGTGAATTCATTTTGAACTACTGTACACCAAAATAAAAAATTAAAGGTTGATCCTGAATTACAATAAAAGCAATACTTTCATGAAAGGTCCATGCTTCTTTTTTTAATGTAATCTAAACTTAGAACCAGACTGACACAGACCACATTTCCACGTAAAAACCCATGAAATTCTGGATTTTCAGTTGCTTTCAGTGTGTGGTATGAGATATGTAAAGACACTCAGTGCCTTTTGCCATTGAAAGCAATGTGCAATGACCTGATCCCAAGAATAGTTTTCTTTTGAAAAAGACATGTAAAAATCACAGTTTTCCACACCTTCTGTGTGCTTTTCTACATTACTGACAACCCCCCTTTTTTCCTACCCCATTTCTTCTGTCAGCTCTGAATCCTCCATGGGATTAAGATAGAGCAACCTGGACTTTGCTTCCCTTCTTGCCCCTGACAAAGTGGGTTACAGCTCAAACTCTGGTCAGGTTGTTGCAGTGTGAAACATGCCACAGTCAGCACTTTCACTACTCCTGATGATGACACACGGAGCAGAAAAAGTCCAAATTGACTCTCAAGATGCTGCTGGTGCAATTCACATTTGAAATGACAGGTACAAACAAGTTCCTATTGTAAAGTACATTTTTTTTAATCAACCAAAAATAATTTCAGCAACACCAGTGCTCTCTTACACCTGTGAAAAACAAGACAGTAAGAATATCATCTCTGCCATTTTTCCCTTTCCACAGAGCTTTTTGTGTAGAGGTGGGAAAGCTTTTCAGCCAGAAAATGATCAGTAAATAACACCACTCACTCAGTTTGTAAAGACATGCACAGATTAACACCGTACTTACTTACCACTCCAACAGGGAAAGCTAGAACAGCCATCACCCAGTCACGGAGGGAAATGAGTTTTTTCAGCTGCCTCTCTTGCTCTTGACTGTCATTTCCTTTAGTGAGAAGACTCGACAGGTCCGTCAAGACGCAGATCCCAAAGAAGACAGCCTGGATAACCTGCATGGGAGGGGAACACACTCTTGAACACGGAGAAAACCAGACCTTTGGCAAAGAGCACGTTGGACACAGGCATGCATGTAGAATATTGCCATGGAATTGTCAGGGGGAGTGGGAAAACATCAGTCCCTTAAATACGGGTAGAGTTTGTTCACATAAAAGCCACTTGTGCTTCTAGACTGAGAGCCCTGCATGCACCTTGCTCCTCATGTACGGGGGGAATGGATGCGCGTGGAAGGAGCATCCCAGAGATGGGACTTCCCACCCTCACCTCAGACATGTGCCACCCTCTGGGACTGAACTGCAGCCACCCCTTCCTGCTTCACTCCATACAACCTGGCCCCAAAGCCACAGCATTCACCTCTGATGCAGAAAAAGTGAGGAACGCTCTCTGTAAAAAGAAAGGACAGAAGAAAGACAAGTGGTTCTTTCCCTTGCGCCAGGAGGTCTCCCTTGGACACCCTGCCTGCCCAGACACCCAGAAGTGAAGAAGGTGCCGGAGACTTCCCGAGAGATGCAGCACATGGCACAGGCTTCAGCAAATCTATCACTACTTCATCTCAGGTAGCGAAGGACAGGAGGAGCAAGCTGCAGGAGTTATTCAAGCTTGCTTTTCATGATGGCGGACTGTCATTTACCTGCCTTTTCCTTTTTTGCATTTACGTATTCGTGTGCAATATCGTCAGACTATCTGTTATATTAAACTGGTAGTTTCATCACCTGAACCCACTGATTCGGCTCAAACTTCACTTGATCTTAGTTTGATCACTGCATTTTTCTTCCTTAATTAGTTTAGTAAAATTGTAGTAAGTTACCTTAGGAATGCTCTTGCCTGAAGGACCTGCGCACCCTTTCCAGTACAGTTCAGAGGAAGTGCACCCACTTTGTTTACTCCCCGAGCTGGATGCCCAGGTCACAAACCCACACGCATCAGGTAATCTCAAGTAAAAAATTAACAAAACACAGGCTTGCTTCCCAAATTGCACAGTGATTCATCAAAAAACATACACATATGCTTAAAATACATACTATATGTTTTTGAAACCAAGCATGGAGTACTAGTTTAGAAGACTTATTTGTAAATCTAAGTGTTCCTCTGATGAAGAGTCTCTGACTAAGCAGCAGATCATCCAGAGAAAATAAGAATAGCACATACCCAGATTTTGCAAAAGACAATTTATTATGTGCATACATCTTTGCAGAATTTAGGCTATAATAAGAAATGTACAAAACCACCTTCAGCTAGGGGACACTGATTTGGAATACAGTAGGGGAGGGAGGGAGAGGGAGCGGGGCAAGGAGGGAGGAAGGAAGGCAGAAGGAAGGAGGGAGTGAAGGGAAGGAATCATAAAATTGTTTAGGTTGGAA